CTGCCATAGCTGCAGCTGGCTGATGGCAGGGCCTGGCGGGGCTGGGACAGGAGGAAGAATGACTGTGGGAGCTGGATAGAGGGTCTCAGAGGAGGTGGGCCCAGGCTGCATGGACCCCCCACCCAGCCACCAGCCAGTGGAGCTTCTCTCTGCTACTTCTATCTGACACCTCTGGAAGCCTCACATTTCTCCTAAGGCTGCCTGTTCTGCTCTGCCAGGAGAGTAGGCAGGGGCCTGAGCTGGGGTGGGTATCTGTCCCCAACTAGCTGTGTGACCCTGGGCTGGAGCCTGCCTTTCTCTGGAGTCAGCTGCCCCCAAATGCTGATGTTTGCCTAGAGCTTGATAGAGCTCTGCCTGGTTAGGAGAAGCTGAGAAACTCCAGCCTATTCTACAAGGACCAGGAGCACAAGGAGAAGAAGAGTTGAGTAGGGGGCACGGAAGGAGAAGGGGGCTGGAAGGTGTAAGACTGTCCATGGGAAATGTACCAGTGGCATCTCTGCCCAACTAGGCCTTGTGCCCACACAGTGGGCTGAGGTGGTGGGGAAGCAGGAAGAGAGACTTCACACACCTCCTAGGCCCTCCCTAGACCTTGGCTGTGTCCCCTTCTTTTTCCCACACCCAAGGGAATATGGACCAGGAGCGTGGCCTGTGGATTGGCTGGGGTGGGGCTGAGGGGCTGAGTTCCCTGAGTCAGGACCAGAAGGTCTCAGCTGGGAGTGACCGTGTGCAGATAGGAACTTAATGGACCCTGTGGCCTACGTGAGAGCCCCCAAAGGGGATGCTTGGGACCAAGGGAAACCTTGATGGGTGAGGTGTGAGGTGAATGCAACTGTACCATCCCACAGTCAGGGATATCCAGCATAACAACAGGCCTCCCAGGAAGCAAGAGCACCCCAGGATTGGAGTGTGGGCAGAGAGCTACAGGGCATGAGGCATTGGGCTCCCTGCACACACTCCAATCCCCGAGTGCTGGCAGGGGAGGGCCCCATGGCCCCTGTGGCTCTCTGCCCCCTGCATGAAGACAGCTGAAGGCAACCCTGGCAGAGGACTTGAGGCAAGAGGAGGACTGTGACCTCCAAGGATGCCTCTAGTTACCACGCACCCTGACCCCGTCATTCTGCCCCAATTCCTCATTTCTATGCCAAATATTCTCTTCCTCTCATCCTTTTCCTCATCAGGACCTCAGAGGAAAGCCCACAAAATGTGTTATCTCTGAAGATAGTTTATAACAAAGCAAGATCAGGGATGGCCTTCCCATGGATTTCAGGCACCTGGGAAAGAAAAGAGATGCTTTTCTCATAGAGAATAACTGCTGTCAAAACATCACATTTCATGGCGTTGAGCGTGGACAGCAGCCCTGCCCATAAGCAAAGCCATTTCTACACTTCTCCCTAGGTCAGCCCTAAGGAAGAGTCCACCTTTCCACAGAGCCTGAGGGTCAGAGGAATTCTGGTTGCTTTCCTGAGACCCCTGGGAAAGGTTTGAGCAGTGCAGGCAGGGAGCCAGAGCTTGTCAGGCCTCTGGGAAGACAGGGCAACAGGTGGGACCTAGGCCCAGGCCGGGAAGTCAAGCTAGAGTGGAGAGGGCTTTATCCTGGCCTGGGCAGTGAGAGCTGCTGAGCTGCTCTCACCTATATGGCACCTAAACCAGCGACGGAGAACAAGAGGTGCCTGCAGCTAGCCCTGGCCCTCTCCATTGAACGCAGGCTTCAGAGCACTACTTGTTACATGCCTGCTTTTTGCAGCAAGTACCCACTCACACATACACAGAGAAAGGCATGAAAAAACAAATAGGACCAGGCAGAGTGGCTCACGCCTGTAATTCCAGCACTTTGGGAGGCCGAGGCGGGCAGATCGCTTGAGCTCAGAAGTTCGAGACCAACCTGGCCAATATGGAGAAATCCTGTCTCTACTAAAAATACAAAAATTAGCTCATGCCTGTAATCCCATCTACTCAGGAGGCTGAGGTGAAGGAATAGCTTGAACCTGGGAGGCAGAGGTTGCAGTGAACTGAGATCACGCCACTGCACTCCAGCAAGACTTTGTCATCTAAAAAAAAAAAAAAAAAAAAAACAGGAAACTTGCAGGCACATAGCCAGACTCATTTAGACAGTGATACAGTTGCATCACCTCCACATACACAACCATATACACTATGCACAGCCCACATAGCAGCACAGACACATGCATACATATTTCCCAGACAAACAGACACATGGACACACACAAATCCACCAATGCTAGTGTGACAAGCCCTGCTGGGTGTCCCTTGCCTGACATCCTATCTGTGCATCAAGGGCACAAAGTCAGGGCCTCTGAGCACCTAGACCCTGTTGGTGCAGCTCAGGCTGCATCTCACCAGCCAGGCTGGCACACCAACAGAAATTCCTCATGGGGCAAGATTTCCAGAGCTCTAAAATAGAATTTCATCCTCTGTGTCTTCAAACAAATATCCACCTTCAGATCTAGAGCTTCATTTCCCAGGGGACCAGGAAACTCAGAGTCCTTCCTGATGGTGGGGAACTGGGGGCCTTGAGGAGAGAGAACTAAAGGCAGAGCTGAGAGAGACTGCGCATGGGGAAGGCACAAGGGCAACTTGTGCAACATCAAAAGACTGTCAGATGGCAGGTGACACGTGTGCTATGACTAGGCCATCAAAAGTTCAGGGTGAGAAAAAACAGTGGCAGAACACTGCTTGCCTGCTCAATCCTCTATCAGCCATTCATTAAAAAAAAAACAAAAAAACTTTCCCATTCATTCCAAAAAAATCTACTACACTCTGAGCACAGGTTGAAGCACAGGGGATGCAGAGTTTATGCATGGCAAAGTCCCTGCTCTCATGGAGCTTTCATTCACCCAGCCATCTGTTCTCCTCTCCTCCATTCCATCCACCTAAAAATTTCCCTTGCTGTGTGCCCAGTTCCATGTTCAATTGTGCAGGGCAGACGTGGTGGGACATGGGCAGGTTGCACCAGGTGGTTCTATGAGGTGGGAAGAGCAATGAGTGCTTTAGAAGCTTTGGAAAGAAAGATGCCATTTGGACGCGGAGCTCCCTGGGGAAAAGCTCCTCAGTGGATGTGACAGGGGGCAGGGAGAATGCCAAGCGTTAGAGACCTGAAGAGAAAAGCACTTGAGCATAATATATCAGTCAGGAATCTTTAGGTTGCAAGTAACAAAACGACATGACTTCACACTGAAAGGAATTTATTGGTTCGTGTAACTGTTGAGTCCAAGATTGGGACGAGCTTCAGAGGTGCTTTGACTCTGAGGCTCAGACAGGCCCTCGGGATCTGCTCACTCACATGTGCTACCTCCTTCATCTTCAGAAGTTTGGGTGGATGAAGGAGTAGTTCCAGATCTCAAACCCTCTCAGCTGCAGTTTCATACCTCTCTTCTCACATGTTCTAGCCATGTCGCACTTCAAAGGCTCTGCATAGGTCATGTGCCCACCCCGAAAAAAATCACATGACCAGGGAAATGTGAAGGCAGTAACTGGCCCATGTCCCATGCTCCACCCAACCTCCACCCAAAGCACAGGGCAGAGTGACCAAGCACTGGTGTCCCAGAGAAAGTGGGATTCAGTTATAAGACAAGAATGAGGGAATACCTGGCTGGGAATTATCCTAATTACATGAGGGAGCCCACAAGAGCAAAGGCATAGAAGTGGGAATGTTCAGGAAATGAAAAGGGAATGGAGGAGGATGAGGCTGGAAGATGTGTGGAATCCTGATTGCAAAAGCCCTAGCCTTGACGTCAGACAAAGATTGTGGACTTTATTGTACATGTCCCAGGGAGATCTGAAGGCTCCTGAGATGGGCCCCGGGCCAAGCATGTTCACTGCCTCCTTCTGCAGACTGCGCGTAGTCCTGGGATATTCCCTGGGCAGAGCACTTCTAAGACCTCTGGATTGCCAGGTGCTGGGGCCGCCATCAAGGCTACAAGAATGGTCCTTTTAATAGTATTTCCCAACTGAACTACAGAGAATGTGAAAGCCTGGTGAGTAGAGGGCCTTAGGTTCTTTTTCCCCAGCTGTGCCGGAAGGAAAATGCTCCCTTCTCCACCCATGCATTTAACAGATACTTTCTGAAAACCTACACACCAGGCCCTGTGTTGGGGGCCTGGTTATGGCAATGAGCCTAACCAACACCCCACCTTGTGGAATTCACCTGGAACAATGTGGGTGGGGACAGTAGCCATTGAACATCACAAATGGGAAAAACATATAGAACGTCTGAAAGAAATAAGTGCTACTGAAAAAATTTAAAATAGAGTATCAGGAAGATCAGGAACATCAGAGATGGGTACATTTGTGTTAAATAGGTTGGACAGGTAATTAAAGGTGAGATTTGAGCCAAGACCTGAGGAGGTGAGAGGGTGAGCCAAGCAGACAGCTGAGAGGGGAGCAGTCCAGGAAGAGGGGTCCCCGGGGGAGTGTGCCGGGCGTGTTTGAGAACAGTTGTGTCTGGAGCACTGGAGGCTGGTGGATATTGCCAAGATCAGCTCGGTCAAAGGGACCCCAACCCAGGCGGTGGTGAAGGAATTGAGAAACAGAAACAAAGATAGAATGTAAAAGTGGGATTGGAGTGGGACCGTCAGGGAGCTGACAGCATTTCCCAGCTGACAGCCCAGAGCAGACTCTGACCCATGTATTTATTCTTTGTGAACACCTGATTATTTTTAATAAGCAGATGCTCAGTGTTTCTTCGTAGAATAGAGATAGACTAAACATGCAGATAGTGCCTGTTCACTGCTAAAATAGAAATAACTAGAAACATCTCTTTGTGAGTCAGCAATGGGGACAAGGTCAAATATCCTGTGTTTTGGGAGCTGGTTTAACTAGTGCATGACCGGTACGTACTGCTTACTATTCTAGCAGTTTTCTGCCTGGGGATGGTTCAGTGATCCTTGCCATCACCTCTCAGCAAACAACATGTTCTCCATCACACATGTCAAGACCTCCTCCCAACATGTGTACCTGTTTTTTGTTTGTTTGTTTGTTTGTTTTTGCAAGGCTAGAGAAGCAAGCACAGCTTTATTTTGGTGAGCTATTTCTTGGAGGATTCAGAATCCGCACCTGTAGACTACACAAAGAGAAATAGACAAATTAATAACACAATCATAACAGCAATCAGAGATCCTCCAAGTGTTTTTACTCAGGTCACTGGATTTAGGGCTGCTAATCCATCAGCAGCTCCCTCAAGCACTTCCGTTCCCAGAATTAAAGTTAAGTGTGCTTGAGAAGCCTGAAAAACTTGCTCTTTTAATTCAGCTATATCCAAAGATAAGTTTCCACCATGCCCTTCCAGGTGACGCTTGATTTTTTCCCCAATTTTGCTCAGTTTCATTCTATGAATGAGGAGTAATACAATAATCAGAAGTATTCCAATCACACTGTAATTGAATTCTATATTCTAAACTAACTACTCTGTCCCCTAGCCAGAGGACTGCTTGCCTAAGATCACTAATCTGGTTAGCTATATTCTGATCTATTTATGTTTAAGAATTCCACAGTAAAGTGGCGTTTTTTTGCCAATTGTTGACAAACTTAGCGGTTTGTCTGGAGGAATGCAAGGTTCCTCTGGCCACAGCTGCTGTGGCCGTGACTACAGTCAGTCATAATAACTAAATTTAATATTAATCAGCTGTAATAACTAAAATTAAAGTTGCAATAATAACTAAAATTAAAGTTATTAATCAGCCATAATAACTAAAATTAAAGTTGCAATAAATCTTCGAGTGTGTTTTAGAACCTTTGGTAAAATTTCAGTAAGAATATGCACTGAGGGAGATGCTTCCCAGGGATGAGACAGGTTTACAGGTAGCCAGATTCCCTCTCGAACTCTGACTAATAGTATAGAGTTGTGAGAATTAAACAAAGAAGCATTAACACAAGAAAATAGCTTACAATTTTGGCATGTTACTTTGGAGTTAATAAAATCAATCTGTAACTTTCCCACCACCAAAAGATAAGGGGATTTAACACAACTCTGTATCCAAAGAGTTTTATTTTTTACAATTTTGAATGAATAATAATTACTGGAACAGGATCTAGTATAGTTTCTTTTCCAGACCTTTATTGGTTTTAGGGCCATACGTATTTTCCACAGTTCTTTCTGTTCAGTTCCCACTGTTGGCCAAACCATTCTTGGCCTAGGTTTTGTTATGCCCCCAATTCTCCAAGCAATAGGGGTGTTTGTCTCAGTGCGCATTGACTCAGGACTGTTATTATTTTTTACGTATCACCTAATTGACTCCGTGTCACAACAAGAGGGCTGAGTGATGCAATTAATGCTAGATATTCCCTAGGGGACCAATCAATAATAATTCCATGGGAATCACTGCGCAGCACCTCAACCTCTGCCGCCACACAATCTTCCCAAATTAATATTTTTGACTTAGAGGACCATTCTTCATTTTGTCTACATTCAGGTCTAGGTGGGCAAAACATTGTTGTTTTATTTCCCAAATTATCATAAGAAATACCAAGGCCAGAAATCATATACAACTGAGCTCAAGTGTGATTTTTTTTTTCAGGTACTATGGCTAGCCATGCCTGAATTTTTTATTTTAAACATCCTTTAGCTGCTCTTAGGCATAGGGTAGATGTTCAAAACCAAGAGAAATATTCATCAAAGTACCTTCTTCTTGAGGATAAGACAGGCCATGACTATCCATCAGCTCTAGCATCCACAAGCTATCAGTAGTGTATACATCTACCAAGGGGGTGGGGGTGGGGGTCTAATCATGTCATAGGTCGCAACAGAGGAGAGAAAGGAATATATGCCCAAAAGTGAAATTTCCGTTTACTTCTGTAGTTAAGTGAAGCAGTGGGAGTGGAGAAGGAGCAAAGACATCTGTAACTGGTCGTGATCAATTAGTTGTAAACACCGCTGCTCTCGGATCAGCCATGCTTGATTTTTTTTCTACATTCTTTCTTTGTATGGCCTCTCCTTCCATAATTAATACAAACTTAAAGGAAAGGCATACCTTCTTTGTTTATTTTTAAACGTGCTACAGCTTATGCATGTAAAGGAACCCATGCACCAATGCCTGTGAGCTGTTCCGTGGTAATATTAATTGGAGACAGAGCATTGGCATTCATATTAGCTTGAACATTAGCCTCGTCAGCCCACCAGATCTTAAATTGTAGGAATTAAGAAAGAGATAGGCAAGCTGGAGTTAAAGTGTCCCAGTCAGCAGGAATTAATTTATGAGAGGTGGCCACATTTTTTAATAGTCCCATAACAAATGGAGATCCTACTTATCTTTGGATATAGCTAAATTAAATGAGAATTTAAACAATGGCTTGTTTAAATTTTTTTTTAAGTTTACATGGAAAAAGCTCAAGTGTTACCTGAAACGGTTCTTGTTGATTTGGGGGTATATCACAACAGGAAACTGACAAGCCTCTAAATCTCTGTCTTTACTATGAGCCTGCTGAGTTCCAGCCTGAACACACCCAGTTACTGCTGTGGAGGGTGTGTGTACAGCCACGGGAGCAACAAGTTTCACTTCGAAACAGCCTCCGATTCCTGTAATGTCAGGTGGATCTGGCCACTCCTCGGTGAAATGCTGAGGAGGGACTGACGGACAAACTCCTTCCTTTTCCTCATTTATTCTTTCTTTTTTCTTAACTGGGTTATCTTTAATTTCCTCATCCCAGTTATATTCTCCTTCTTCCCCTGAATCTTCCTTCTTATAATCAGTTTGAAATGGCTCTAATGCTGAATGCACCACTGCCCAAACTGACTGTACTGGGATTGGAATATCCTCAGCTCCTTCTTTATATGCCTTTTTAAAAGTAATACCCACTTTTTCCCATTCTTCTATGTCTAGAGTTCCCTGCTCAGGAAACCAAGGGCAATGTTTTTCAACTGCCTTAAAAAGCTGTGTTATGTGGCTAGTACTAACTTTAATTCCTCCTCTTCTAAGCAAATAATGAAGCAAGCTAAGATAGCATTCGTGTTTGCTTGAAGCTTGTCCCATTGTGTCCCTGACCTTCCAAGCTCCCCCAACTTACCCTGGGAGATTTTTTCAAGAGTTCTCAGGTGTCCTTCAGCTTAAATTTATTTCTCCTTTTTCCTGTCACTCAGGCAACCCTTTGTCCCTGGTTGAGTTCCACGCTTGGGCGCCACTTGCCGAGATCAACTCGGTGGAAGAGACCCCAACCCGTGCGGTGCTGAAGGAATTGAGAAGCAGAAACAAAGATACAGTGCAAAAGTGGGATCAGAGTGGGACCATCAGGAGGCTGACAGCCCAGAGCAGACTCTGACCCATGTATTTATTCTTTGTGAACAAGTGATTATTTTTAATAAGCAGATGCTCAGTGTTTCTTCCATAGAATAAAGATTGACTAAACATGCAGATAGTGCCTGTTCACTGCTAAAATAGAAAGAAGCTAGAAAGCACTCTTTGTGAGTCAGCAATGGGGACAAGGCCAAATATCCTGTTTTGGGAGCTGGTTTACCTAGCGCATGACTGGTACAAGCTGCTTACTATTCTAGCAGTTTTCCGCCTGGGGATTGTTCAGTGTTCCTTGCCATCACCTCTCAGCAAACAACATATACTCCATCACACATGTCAAGACCTCCTCCCAACAGGACATAAGGGCAAAGAGTAGCAGGGGCTGCCTACCTACCCTCTTTGCCCTTCACATAGGCTTTAAAGGATTACTGTAGGGATTTGAGCTGGTTAAGTAAAAACTCTGGGAGGCCATTGTTTTGGACTAAGCTCCTGCACTAGGTCCCAATAGACTAGACTAAACCAAAATGGAGTCTGTCATAGTAAAGTTCCATGTCCTCAAACCTAAACTAAGTTGTTATCTGACCTTTGAGACTCCAGGAGAGAGAGTTAGCAGCCAAATTCCCCAACAGGCCAGTTTCAGTTGGCGTGATAATGCAGACAATAACCATGCTCATTAAAGTTCCCTGTGTTTGAATCAGTATAAAAAAGTAACCTGAAGAAACCTGATGTCAACCACCCTGTTCTGGCCTTATACGGAAACTAACTTAGAAATTACCACTCTGGCTGGGCACAGTGGCTCACGCCTATAATCCCAGCACTTTGGGAGCCAAGGTGGGTGGATCACAAGGTCAAGAGATTGAGACCATCCTGGTCAACATGGTGAAACCCCGTCTCTAATAAAAATACAAAAATTAGCTTGTCATGGTGGTGCATGCCTGTAGTCCCAGCTACTCAGTAGGCTGAGGCAGGAGAATTGCTTGAACCCAGGAGGTAGAGGTTGCATTGATCTGAGATTGCACTATTGCACTCCAGCCTGGGTAACAAGAGAGAAACTCTGTCTCAAAAAAAAAAAAAAAAAAGAAAGAAAGAAATGACCAATCTGGCCCTGTGAGGTGGTTCACGCCTGTAATCCCAGCACTTTTAGAGGCTGAGGCAAGTGGATCACTTGAGCCCAGGGGTTCCAGCCCAACCTGGGTAACATACTGAGAGCCTGTCTCTACAAAAAATACAAAAATTAGCCAAGTGTACTCCTGTAGTCCTAGCTACTTGCAGGGCTGAAACGGGAGGATCACTTGAGCTCAGAAGATTGAGGCTGCAGTGAGCCATGATTTCAGGATTGCACTTCAGCCAGGGTGACAGAGTGATAACCTGCCTCAAAAAAAAAATCAATCTTCTTTTTGTTCTTCATTTATTTATTTCTGCCTTCCAGAGCCCTTTCCTGCCTATGAAACTAACCTCTTCTACCCAGCTCATTGGAAAGCTCCTATTTTATGGACTGAATCTGTTCCTGATTCAATGAACCTATTGTCTGATTCTAGGATTGCCAATAACACTAATTGAGAACTTTAAACTAAATTTGTTGTAATCTGGTGTTTCAACTGGCTGTTACTCTGAGGGAGGTGGTAGTGAAGGTCGAGAGTGTCGGAATCACTCTAGCTGCTGGGTGCAGATGAGATGGGAGGAGAGCAAGAAATAGGAAGCACAGTGGCCAGTTGGAAAGCTATTGCAGCAATTCTCCGGCCTGGCCAACATGGTGAAACTCTTTTTCTAATAAAAATACAAAAATTAGCTGGGCACGGTGGTGGCAGGTGCCTATAGTCCCAGCTACTCGGGAGGCTAAGGCATGAGACTCACTTGAGCCTAGGAGGCAGAGGCTGCAGTGAGCTGAGATCTCACCACTGCACTCCAGCCTGGGTGACAGAGCAATAGAGTGAGACCCTGTCAGAAAGGAGGGAAGGAGAGAGGGAGGGAGGAAGGGAGAAAAAGGGAGGAAGGGAGAAAGGAAGGGAGGGAGGGAGGGAGGGAGGGAGGGAGAAAAAGGGAGGAAGGGAGAAAGGAAGGGAGGGAATATTACAGCAAATCAGAAAACAAAGTATGGTGTCGTGGAGGAAGAAGGCAGGGGTGAGCAAATGCTGCTGGTGGTTGAGAACTGAGAATTGACCACTGGGTTTAGCAACATGGTCACTGAGGCCCCTGGAGAGAGCACTTTCAGTGGATGCTCACATTAGCTGCTTCCCATCTGCTCCCACCAGACCGAGGTTTGGACACTCAGGCTGCGTTATTCCCCACATCCTCCTTGTTAGGGAAGTTCTCAATCTGCCTCTCCCCAAGGTCATTCATGCCAGTCATTTCTTCTTGGACAGTAAGACTGCTGCTCTCAGGACAGCTGGACAATGAGGCCTGGGCAGTGCCAGGTGCCAGGTGCCGTCCAAGCACAGCAGTCAGGAAAGTCTTCAGGTACTGGCGGAAGCGGCGACTGGAGAAGGCATACAGGATGGGGGAAAAGCAGCAGTGAAGGAAGGCGATGCTCTCTGTCACCTGGAGTGCATAGTCTAGGTGCTGGCTGACCTTGCAGTCCCCGAATACTTGCAGGTCCAATAGCGTATGCAGAAATAAGGTGACATTGTATGGGAACCATAGCACAAAGAAGACCACCACCAGGGCTACAGCTATTTTTAGAGCCCGGCCCTGGCCTGGGGGACTCAGCGTGACCAAGACACAACCAATACGGGAGTAGAAGAAGATCATGGCAAGGAGTGGAAGGAGAAACCCTAGGAGGTTCTGCTGGAGGCGGAGGAAGAGCTTCCAAATGGTCCCATGCCCGCTGAAATCTGCATGGCAATTCCACACACCCTTGGGATTTTCATGTGTCTGTACAAAGACCATATCAGGGATAGAGATGGCCAGGGACACAGCCCATACTATGGTAACAAGAAGTAGGCTCTTGGCCCGGGTCCTCAGCCTGTGGAAGGGCTGAGAATGGACGATCTCCAGGTACTTGTCCAGGCTCATGCAGCCAATGAAAAAGATGCCACTGTACAAGTTAATAGCATAAAGAGTGCTCACCATCTTGCACAAGAAACTCCCAAAGACCCAATGCCAGGCCACGGAGATGCCCCAGAAGGGCAGTGTCACCACAAACAGGAGATTGGAGATGGCCAGATTCAGCAGATAGATCTCAGCCATCCGCCTGCGAGGCACATATCGGAGCAAAAGCATGAGAAGAAGGAGGTTCCCGCTCAGGCCCAACACAAAAATCAGGCTATAGAAGACTGGCAGGAAGATTTTGCCAAAGGACACCACCGCATCCTTCCTGCAGAGCATGAAGGCCACCTCATCCAGGTAGTCATAGTAATAGAAGCTGCTGTTCTCAGAGCCGGCATCCTCGGTGGTGAGTCGCTGCGGAGAGGCAGTGGCAGCCATGTTGGGAGGAAATGCCCAGTCCCAATGTCCTGTAGTGGTGTGGGGGGAACAATATGGTGAGACCTAGCATTCTCTACGTTTCTCTAAAACCACTTTTGCTGCTGCCCTGGGATGTCCAATAGACTCTTCAAATCTACATCAGCATCTGCAGTCCAACAAGTAAGAGCACAAGCCTGGGGAGCCATCTGCACCACTTAATAGTTATGTCACCCAGATATCCCCTCACCTGTGTCTTTTTTCTTTCTTTTTTTTTTTTTTTGAGACAGAGTTTTACTTTTGTTGTCCAGACTGGCGTGCAATGTCATGATCTCAGCTCACGACAACCTCTACCTCCTGGTTCAAGTAATTCTCCTGCCTCAGCCTCCCAAGTAGCTGGGATTACAGGCATGTACCACCATGCCCAGCTAATTTTGTATTTTTAGTAGAGACGGGGTTTCTCCATGTTGGTCAGGCTGGTCTCGAACTCTTGACCTCTGGTGATCCGCCCACCTAAGCCTTCCAAAGTGCTGGGATTACAGGTGTGAGCCACCATACCTGGCCACCTTTGTCTTATAACTAAATCCCACTTACTCTGGGACATTTACTGTTGGATAAGTGACTAACCTTTAGATGTTCTCATTTAATTATTTCCTTATGATTTTGTTTCTTCATTTTTCTCCTATATAATTTTTTTTTTTAAAAACTTACAGTGTCTTTCAAATCTTCTTTATTCTGTAGGGATATCAATTCACCTATTTAATGTGTCTCCTGACCCTTCCTCATGTGTGGCTTATTATTATTTTTTTAATGACAGCTTATCTTCAGTGGGGCTTGTTTTATCCATAAATGTCCAGTATATCCACCCTGGCTTTGAGTTTTCTTTACTCCTGTCACCTGGGGATTTCCCTTGCTTTTTGAGAGTTTTTAAGTATTTTATTTGTAAATAGCAAGTTTTATATCAATACTTTTAATGACAAATATTTAATATTTTAAATATTTTATCCAGTATTTCTGTTTGCGGCAAAAGGTGTGATCCGTCATGCTGATGGACTCAGCACCTACTAAACTTTTCCACCTCTCAGTTTCCTCATCTTTAAAATGAAAATAATAACAGTGCCTATCTTGTGAGGTTCTTGTGATGCTTAAATGTGATAATACATGCAGAGCACTTTAAGCTGTACAAAAGTGACCGGAGCATAGCAGACATTCAATAAATGTGAGTTTAAATTATTGCTTTGCCCAGAACTGAGTTATTCATTTCCCCCTCCAGCCCCTTTCTTCTTTCCTAGGCCCATCTAACCGAATGATTCCACCAGCTACTCAGTCGCCTAAGGCTGAAACATGGGATACCTTGCAGATTCTTTCCTCATCACCCTCGCCCCCACCCTGTGAGTTTTTCCTTTTCAGTTGGTCCACTTATCTCCAAGTCCCATAAAAATATGTACATGATACTCTTTTCATGAAAGTAAGGCAAATGAAACAAAAAATACATACTTCAAAGGAGTACAAATAGATGACAGGAAGGCAGAGGAATGACAGGTACCAAATTCAAGATGGCAGGTGCCTGGGCAGGAGAAGCCAGTGGCATGGGATGGGGGTGGACCTATGAGATGGGACGAGTCACTGTCCACAGTCAAGTGTCCTCTGAGGCAGTGAGATCCCAGAATTTTATTAAATTATTTAAAATAATTTTTTGAAGAGAGCTTCACATAAACCAGTGATACAAGTATATGATGAATGAAGAAATATTTTCAAACCTGTAGTGTGTTCTGGAGAAGGGGAGGGAGAGAGGAGAGAGACTTCATGTTGAACAAAGAGCATTCACCAATGGGTAAGGGGGCTCGAGGAGGAGAGAGGAAGGAGATAAAAAGGAGTATGTGGCTCAAGCAGGCAATTATGAAGAACCACTGAAGATGGGACTGTAGACTGTTGACAGTCACGGGCCACAGACTGAGAAATGCAAATCAGCTCTACCCCATACTTCTGGATTTTATTTTTTTTATATTTGACTCCTGTGAACTTGAACTTTTTTTTTTTTCCGAGATGGAGTCTCGCTCTGTTGCCAGGCTGGACTGCAGTGGCACAACCCCAGCTCACTGCAACCTCCACCTCCTGGGTTCAAGCAATTCTCCTGCCTCAGCTTCCAGAGTAGCTGGGACTACAGGCGCTCGCCACCATGCACAGCTAATTTTTGTATTTTTTAGTAGAGACGGGGTTTTACCATGTTGGCCAGGATGGTCTTGATTCCTTGACCTTGTGACCTGCCTGCCTTGGCCTCCCAAAGTGCTGGGATTATAGGCGTGAGCCACCACGCCTGGCTGAGCTTGAACTTTTTAATATGTTCAATGCCCCCTTGTATTTCTTCTATGAATTATTTATTCTTTTAATGGGTGGGTTGCTTATTTTATGAGGTCTTATAATAGTGAAGATGTTAGCTTTTTTCATATGTATTACAAATGTTTTCCTTAGCCCTTTCTGATAAAAGTGTCACCTTTTTTTTTTCAGGTAGACTTTGAAAGAAATGTTGACTCAGGTTCCCAGTTGACCCATGGTATCCGTTGTACTATGACCTCATGGCTGGTGGAAGCATTCAGTGCTGCTGGAGCAGAACATCTCTTGCAGGAGCCCTTGAGTCCTCCCATTCTGTGAGCCTCTGCCCCACCCTTGGGCTCCCATCCAATGGCAACTGGACCAGATCCTAGGGAAACCACACATGCCCTGTCCCCATCCCAGGGGCTCAGCCTGAGTGGCTTTTTCTGTTTCTGATCAACCTAAGGAACTTTACCCAGTGCCTTTTTTTACTGGTCTTCCTGTCCCCTTCTCTGCACCAGGGCCCTCCTGGCCTTCAGCTCCTCCTTCCTGGGCAGCAGTAAGGACACCCCTAGCATATGGCTCATGCTGGAAGCCTGTGAGCTGCTGCAGAAGGAGGATGTGAGGGGTGTACTCAGGTCTAATCAGGGCTTATTACTCAGGAGTTGACACTGGTTAAACACCAGCTCTTCTGAGCTGCTGACATGGACCTTGATCTTGACTTGATTTCTCAAAGTGCCTTGACTTTTGTTTTAGCAAACAACGAAGTCTGACAAATGTTTCAATCAAAGCCAGAGGTCAGAGTCAGCAGACCCTGCTAGTCCAGACCGCCTTTGTTCTCCCTCTACGTGGAACACTCTATCCGCTTCCAACTCGAGGCCTTTAGCCTCCTGATCTTTCACTCTGGGAATCTGTTCAGAACGTCATCTCCACCTCTGGAGCAACAATCCTCCTATCATTTTCATCAATAAGGCCAATGACATTTTTATTGCATTTTATCACAAAGTGGCAACAGCAATCAGGTCTTTACCCCTGATCTTTCACTCTGGGAATTTTTCTAGGTCTCCCTCATCTCTGGAACAGCCATCCCCTCCTATCTCTTTCATCAATAATACCAACGACAATGACAACAGCAGTCAGCACCCTCATATGCACGTTACAGCTGGCCAGGCACCTTCGGATGCACTGCAGTAGCCTTGTAAGGCAAATCAGGAAGGAACTGTCAGCCCCATTTACCCCAGGAGCAAAGCGACTTTACCAGGGTCACACAGGAAGTCACTAGCCAAGTTGCATCTGAAATCCAGGTCTTCAGACTCCAGGCACATGGTGCCTTGTCCCTGGTCCCACCTCATCCTTGGCCTCTGTTCTGCCCTACCCAGCAGTTACAAAAAGGGTTCACTGAGAAAGGTATGATTGAAGGCCAGGCACGGTGGCTCATGCTTATGATTCCAGCACTTGGGAGGCCAAGGAGGGTGGATCACCTGAGGTCAGGAGTTCAAGACCAGCCTGTTCAACATGGTGAAACCCCATCTCTACTAAAAATACAAAAATTAGCCAGGCATGGTGGCGCACACCTATAATCCAGCTAGTTGGGAGGCTGAGGCAGGAGAATCACTTGAACCCAGGAGTTGGAGGTTGCAGTGAACTGAGACTGCACCATTGCACTCCAGCCTGGGCAACAAGAGTGAAATTTGGTGTCAAAAAAAAAGAAAGATGTGATTGAGTCTTGGTTGGTTGCCCAGGATCTTCCCCTCATTGGGAGATATGCAGGGCTCACCTCCCTTAGGTCTCTCAGGGAAGTCACAGTTGAGGCAACGAGAGGAAGGATATTGTGATGAGGAGGCAGCCATGTTAGTTGGGTTCCTTCTACGAGTTGAATGCTCACATGTAATTTTCTCACCTTATCTTCACCATAGTCCTGGGAAGCAAAGCGATTATAATCTTCACTTTCCAGATGAAGAAACAGGTGTGGAGAGGTGAAGCCCAATTGTTTACAGCCTCGGATTAGCAAATGGTGGGCCGGGCATTGGATGGCCCTCACAACATGAGGTGGAAATGGTGACCCCTTCCCCTGCACACTCCCTTTCAAAATGGACCAAACTTGAATTTGAAGGCTGAGGCTCCAACAGTGGGAATTCTGGCCTCAGCAACTAGTGGCAGGAAGGTTCAAAGCCAGTGGTAGGCTGAGGGCCAATCATATGGCATCTGGGAGGCATTAAACAAATGGTCATGGAATTAACCAACTCTGCGTTCAGTGATGTTAAGTTGGTAGCTTGAAATTGAGAATATTTACATCATGGCAAATGCTATAAATCAAGGCTTTCCTCTCTCTCCTCTGCCATCCTGCCTCTCCTGTGCCTCCAGCCCAGAACGTTGTTAAACTTTCACCAGCACTCCCCTGATTAGGCCCCCACAGAGCTTGACTGGACCCTGCCTGACTCACTGAACCCTCTTTTGTGTCTCCCAGCATCTCCCCTCTTCCACCTTAAACATCAATTTCACGACCACCTTCCCCACAGCCAAGAACCCTATGGGCAGGGTCACCTGTAGTTCCCCCCGGTGCTGAAAGCACACCCATGCTGAGTGCGAGTGTACTGTTCACAGTGCAGCTAATTCCACTTGCAAGCTGATCAAATAAACAAGACTAAATGTGACCTCCAGAGGCCACACCAGCTTTTGAAATATAAAATCAAGAACACCATTTGAGATCACTTCTAGTGAAAAATACTTTTGCTGGCTTCCTTTGACTGTGGAAAACATACCCTCCTTTAAAATACAATCTAAATCCTCCCCTCCCAGAACCCTGCCTGGGCTGGTGGCCTGGGGAAACCCCTGCCCCAGCCCCTGCAAGCACTCACAGAAGGTCACACCTCAGCCACAGTGTCCATCGCCTGGAAGCAAGACTGCCTTTTGAAGATCACCTGCTTCCCCTGCTAAACTGAGGGTGCCGAGGATCTGCAGCTGTGTTCCCAGGACTCACCAGCACAGGGCTGGCATCGGAGAGGTGTTCAACACCCAGTGGTGGAATTCATTAGCACAGCCTCCTCTCCCCCTCCCTTCTGTCTCCTGACTGTTCCCTTTTCTGATTTCCCACTTCCCTACTGCAGGAGCCTGGACGCAGCTGAGCCAAGACTCTCCTTCTCTGAGTGGATTCTCCAGCCTGGGCCAGCTCTGCCTTAGCAGCCTTGGGAGCCTGTGATCACGGAACGTTACCAGCCCTAAGCCCCCGCTGTTTCCACTTGAACCGTGTTCAAGTGCCGCCTCCAGCTGGTGCAGCCTCCCCGGCCTGTGTCACGGGAAGTGGCCCCATGTCTACCCCCAATCCTCCCTCGGGACTCCTTTTGCTCCTCTGATTGCTTTTGGGAAGATTGGGGTGGAAATGGGGTCCCAAGGCCTGAATTCCATCCTCACTCAGCATGGGATGGTCCCCCTCTGGTCCTCTGCCCTTCACTCTGGGACTCCAATCCCATATTCCTGGCCCAACTGTGGCTGGAAAAGTTGAGGCAGGAGTCGTGAAGTGATTCATACTCTGACCACAGTGTCTGGCTGTGGAACACCCTCTGGCCCTGGAAGAGGTGCGTAACAGAGGATGGGCACACTGGCAGGAGACCTGCCTTTGGGGGATCTGGTACCAGTGTTGAGATCTCTCTACTTGCGTCTTCTTGGGCTTGGGAAAACACCAGCTACTGAACTGTAATTTCATCTATAAAAATAATAACAACACTCAGCATTTTTATAGCACTTACTATGGGTCCTGTTCTCATGCATTAATTAATTTCATTCTTTCAGTAACACTATGAGGCTGGTAGTATTCCTATCTCTTTCTTACATATGAGGTGACTAAGACACAGAGGGGCTAAGGAACTTGCCCAAGGTCACACAGCTATTAAATACCTGAGTTGGCTGTCTGGGCAGGAAGATATAAAAAAATAAAATAAAAATTAAAAATATGTGATCTGGCCTTTGAACCCAAGCTCAGAGACCAGGCTGGCTCATTAGAAGATGGAGCAAGGGCCAGCAAGTGCTGGGATGATGGCTCACACCTATAATCCCAGCACTTTGGGAGGCTGAGGCAGATGGACCATCTGAGGTCAGGAGTTCAAGACCAGCCTGACCAACATGGTGAAATCCCATCTCTACTAAAAATACAAAAATTAACCAGGCGTGGTGATGCATCCCTGTAATCGCAACTACTAGGGAGGCTGAGGCAGGAGAATTGCTTGAACCCAGAAGGCAGAGGTTGCAGTGAGTCAAGATCACACCACTGCACTCCAGCCTGGGTGACAGAGTAAGACTCCATCTCAAAAGAAAAAGAAAGAAAATGGAGCGAAGAATGGCACTAGAGATGGAGAAATAACAGGAGACCAGGATGCTATTGCTTAAGACACCTGAATGGAAAGCTGCTCAGAAGGCCGATGGTGCATGCATGGAAACGGAAGTGAGAGCCACACGTGGAGGATGTGAGGAAAACGGTCTAGACGCTCGGAAACGGCATGCTAGGGAGAGAAACCCGTGGATGATCAGCTCAGAGGTAGAACTGCACCTCCTACTTCACTGGTCAGTTTGGGGTGCCCTTGAGCTTAAACCTCCAGGCTCTGCTGGCCCCAAGACAAAAGCAAGGCTTCCATCCAAAGGCCTTGACTTCCATGAGCCAGTTTTCTCATCTATAATATACACAATACAATGAAGAACTTTGTGAGGATTCAACCTGATGTCATCATTATAACAGCACCATGGAGTCCTGACCTTTCTGCTGGGCCTGGGGTAAGGGCTTTAAATGTATTAACTTATTTACTCCTCACATTTACCTGATAGAAGTAAAGACTATCATTAGCCTTGTTTTAGAGCTGAGGATTCTAAGACACAGGGAAGTTAGAGAACTGGCCCAAGATCACAAAGCAATTGACTAATGGAGCCAGGCTTTGAAACCGGGTGTCCATGCTCTTAAATGCTAGGTTACAATACAACTCAAAGAAAATAGTAAGCACAGCCAGGGGCAATGGCAGGCATCTCTAGTTCCAGCTACTTGGGAGGCTGAAATTGAAGGATTCCTTGAACCCAGGAGTTTGAGACCAGCATGGACAACATAGTGAGACCATATCTCAAAAATAATAATAATAACAACAAGGTTGTGGATCTCCTCCCCTGAGCTTTTTATGTAATAATGCACTGACTGCTCACAATAACCTTTTAAGATGGGCCCCATTCTACTGATGAGGAACTGAGACTCAGAGAGGGAAAGTAATGTACCCAAGCACACACAGCAAGTATATGGCAGGACTGGAAACCAAGTTCCTGCAGCTGGCTCCAGAGCTGGAGCCCCAAATCACACATTGGGAGTTCAGCCTGTGAGCGCCCTTTCCTCGGGCTTGCAGAATGAACAGGGGCCTTCTGGATGGTCTACATGGGAAGTATATTTGGATTGTGATTTATAAAACGCCATGAAGACAATAGGAACCAGTCCTGACACTTACACAGGGATTTGTGTCTCCCGAGACCCTTTTTTAGCCCCAGTCACTGCTGTGTCTTCCTGGCTCCCTTGTGAAGGGCTGGACAGGTATGCATCCCCTCTCTGGTTTCCCAGGAAATCCAGGGCTGCACTGCAAGCCAGGCATAGCTGGCCAGAGGAATCAGCTGGCCCTGGATTCCAGATCACTGCACACTCTCTCTCCTTACTTTTTTAACAGATTATTTTTCCTGATTATCATCATAATATATAGTCAATGTAAAATGTGAAAATACAGCAGAAAAATAGAAAGGAGGCCAAAAAACAAAAACAAAACTCCCCTGTGATGCTACCATTGCAAAAATAACCCTCAGGAACATCTTAGTGTATCCTGTTTGTCTGTTTTCATGCCCAGAGCCACATCTGCTACACTAACACTCATGGATTTGTGTAATCAAAAAGTCTGGCTGGAAGGGAGTGGCCTCGTCCAGTCCTCAGCAGGGCGGGCGTCTCCTTGCAGCCTCCAGCTAGACATAGCCATGTCCTGCTCATGAGATATGCGAGGCCCTCCTGCTCCCCACGCTCCCTGGGACCCCACATTACTCAATGTTTCCTGGCCCTTGTCAGGAGATAGGGATGTTTGTGACATGTATAAAATCACAAGAGTAACCCTCCTCCCAAAGCTCATTTCAGCTAACAAAAATGTAAGCACTTTTACAGCCTGACCCTTCAAGGAGCTGCTGTAGAAGGTGAGACTTTCGTGTTTTTCCCGGAATGTTTTTTGATGTTTTGTTTTTTGCCTCTCTCCATGTGGCCTGAAATGTTCCCATGAGAACTTCTTGCATGTGTATTTCAACATGATGCTGGGCTCAAAATGAAACACCCCACCACCCCCAGGAAGGGCGGCACACTTAGCATGGTAGAATAGACAGAATACAGCTGAACTCACTTCTCAATGGCTGTGCAACCCCAGGCTCATCATTTAACCTGTCTGAGCCTTAGTTTTCTTACCTATAGCATGCCTCCTTTGCAGGGTTACTATGGCAAACTGAGGGCCTGGCATATGCTATTAGTTCTCTTTCAGCCCCTAAAAGGAATACACTCACTGATTAAATGACACTTGGCTCAGGCTGGGATGCATGGGAGGGGATCCAAGGACAATTTGAATCTGGAACAGTTTTGGGCAGAAGGAAGGGGGTCAAGAATTTGGAAAAGGAGGAGGATGGGGAGAGGGTGGGCATGTACAAAAGAAGAGACCACAGAGCTGCGAAACTTTGGCCCTGGGCGAGAGGCCCTTAAAGACTATCTCATCTGCCCCATTCTCTTACAGCTGGGAACACTGAGGTCCAGAGAAGGAAAGGAATGCTTGAGCTCCCCTAGCCAACCAGGTTGGAGAACCAACTCTCAGGGATTTTAGGAATCTGCAAAGCAGATTCTCAGAGCCAGAGTCAAGTAGGGGAAGAAGTCAGAAGACCCCTCACTCTCCAGGTGCTGGAGGCAATTGCTGGAGAGAAAGCTCTACACTGACTTAGCACCTCCCTGTTCCCAGCACCTGTGCCCACTCCCCAAGCCACTGGGTTCAGTCTGTCCCTGTGGTCCCTAGGCATTCCCACCCCCACCCCAACCCCACCTCCTGAGTGTGGCTATAACCTACCAGAGCCAGAATGACTTGCTTGGGAATGTCCACACAAGCCTGGGAGCAGAGCAGCAGCGCCCGGGTGCCTCTTCCTCAGGAAGTGCAGAGGGAGTATGATTCTTCTCTGAAGGCTCGTCCCCTCTCTGGACAGCAGCTTGTGTATATATCCTGCTTTCAGACTGGAAAAAAAATTCCCTTTGCCCTTGCCCCAACCCTCATCCTGCACAGCCATGAGCTGTTTCTCTCATTGACAAGAGTCAAGCTCAGATGACCTCCCACCTCACGAGGAGCATCCCCCAAGGATAGTGTTTGGAAAGCATGTGTCCCCTCTCTGGAATGATTCCCTGGTAACTGGATCAAGGCCACTAACAGTCCATTCCAGATGTGCAGGCCTTTGCTTACTCTGTGTCTCTGAAGGACCTTCCCAACATCACCTTCAGAGATCCTGCCTCCAGCTTCTTCATCCTGGATACCTTCCCAGCAAGATCTCACCGCCGCCCCCCTCAATCTGCCCCAAACCTAAACTCTTCCCAATCTCTTTCTCTGGCCATAATTTCCACTGAGCAGGGTTGTGTCTGCTACACCCACTGTCACCAATAGTTTCATCTCCCAGACTTTCCAAATCAAATTCCTTCTTTCCTTCCCTTCTCCCCCACTCCCCTTCATGGCATCTCTGTATGGTTACCTGCCTGTTTAACTGTCTGTTCCCCTGCTGGGTCAGGAGGTCTCAGGGGAAGGACCATATCTGACCCACTAGCCAGAGCCCAGGGACAGGCAACAGCAGAGAATGAATGAATGAATGAATGAATGTTGGATATATGATGCACTGCCTGCCACATGCTTAGCAGTATGAGGGTCTGCCTTCCCAGCACAGCACCTGTGGTCCAGGATCAGTATCTCAGCTGCCCTCACCTCCAGTCCCACTGCCCCCCTTGACACACCACAAGTGCTTGGTGAATGCCTGTTGCCTCCACTTGAACTGAGCAGTAATAGAGCAGTAATGTCAGGTGGTTAAAGGTGCTGGCATTGGAGTCACTCTTAGCTGGGCTTGGATCTGGCTCTGCATTTACTGGCTGTGTGACCTAGAGTTGGTGGCTTCACCTCTCTGGCCCTTGGTTTTTGCATCTTTACTGGGGTTGGGGACAGTCTCTCAGACAGACATCAGAGAACAGAATGTTCCAAGAAGATGGCCATGGACTTAGACATTTGCCCTTCTCTGGGGTCCACAGGCTACCAAGAATGGACTTTAAGACTGTGATGTGTTTTCACTCAGGCAGAGGGAAGCAGGGGTCCTTTCAAGTAGGGCCTCCAAGTCGCTACTTTCTAATAGGGAGAATAAGAGCCAAGAAGCTGCCCAACAACAGCCACAGAGTCCTGGGTCCCTCCCACAGAATCGCTAAGTTCTAGGACCTGGGCTTCTTCTTTATTCCCCCCCACCTCACCCCTTTTGTGTATCCTTAGTTTAAAATAATTTTTAGACTCGCAAAATAAAGCATAAGATTCCAAGACACCTGTCTGCCAGCTTCCCTAATATTAACACCAGTTAAATTAAGCTTAGCCTAAGGCTGAACTTACATATTTTAATATATAAAACATATGTTTTATACATTTAATATATAAAACTTACATATTTTAAGTTTGGCCTAAAGGCTTCTCCGCACATAATGAACTGTAACCAGACTGAATGTGTAAACAGGCTATAACCTATTCTTGCGCCAACTACAGAGTTTCAGCCAATTGCATTTGACCAACCATTCAAACTGTGTTCAAATCAGGCAAATGCCAAGCTGTAACCAATCCAGCTGTTTGTCCTTCACTTCCATTTTCTGTCCATCACTTTCCTTTTCTGCCCATAAGTCTTCTTCCACCACTTAGCATCACCCAAGTTTCTCTAAACCTAATCTAGTTTGGGAGGTTGCCAGATTCTCAAACTGTTCTTTGTTCAATTAAACTCTGTTTAATTTGCCTAAGGTTTTATTATTATTATTATTATTGAGACAGAGCCTCACTCTGTTTCCCAGGCTGGAGTGTAGATGTGTGATCTCGGCTCACTACAACCTCTGCCTCCCAGGTTCAAGGGATTCTTCTGCCTCTGCCGCCCAAGTAGCTGGGATTACAGGTGCCTGCCACCATACCCAGCTAAACTTTGTATTTTCAGTAGAGGCGAGGTTTCACCATGTTGGCCAGAATGGTCTTGAACTCCTGAGCTCAAACGATCTGCCTGCCTCAGCCTCCAAAGGTACTGGCGTGAGCCACCGTGGCTGGCCTCTAAGGAGTTCACTTTTAACACATCTACATAATCACAGTACTGAATCTAAACAAGAAAATTAACATTGACACAACACTGTTGAGTAATCTACATACTTTATTGAAATTTCAACAGGTGTCCCACTAATGTCCTTCTCTGGCCCAGGATCTAAACCAGAATACACTTGATTCTTGTGTCTCCTTTGTCTCTTCATTCTGAGGCAGATCCTCAGTCTTGCTTTGTCTTTCATTACCTTGACAGTTTTGAAGAGTGCTGGTCAGTTCATTTGTAGAATGCTCCTAAATTTCAGTTTGGTTTTTCTTCAGGATTAGATTGAGGTTATGTATTTTGGGCAGGAACACCACAGAAGTGACCTTATGTCCTCAGTACACATATCAGAGGGGCATAGTTTCGAGATGTCTCTTTTCTGGTAATGTTAACTTTGATCACTTGAAAAACGTGGTATCTGATAAGTTTTTCCATTGTGAAATCACTATTTATGCTCCTGCTACATTGAGACTATGCAAATATCCTATTTCTCATCACGCTTTTGTCCACTAATTTTTGCATCCATTTATGCTTTCCAACAATAATTATTACTGTGTGGTGATGTTATGTTTCCATCATTCTTTCTACATGTACTGATTCTAATTTTATTATGAGAGAGCTGGACACAGCGTCTCGCAGCACTATGAGAAGCTGAGGCAGGTAGATGGCTTGAGCCTAGGAGTTTGAGACTAGCCTGGGCAACATGGCAAAACCCCATCTTTGCAAAAAATACAAAAATTACCCAGGCATAGTGGCATGCACCTGTACTCTCAGCTACTTGGGAAGCTGAGGTAGGAGGATTGTTTGAGCCCGGGAGGTGGAGGCTACAGTGAGACAAGATCTTGCCATGCACTCCAATGTGGGCAACAGAGGGAGACCCCAACTCAAAAAAAAAATTTTTTTTAAGAGTTGGCCTTTCTCCATAATTATTCATATTACTATGACCTCATGGGTATTTACTTTATTCTATTGCTCCCATTATTTGTCTTGCTGTTCAAATTGTCTCATCCTCTTTGAAAATATTTCAACCCATCTGTTTCCTGTTAAGCTGCTTTTCCTAACAAGATGTGGCCCATATAAGTCACTCTCTCAGTGTCACTCCCCAGCCATAGCACATCAGCCACTCCCTGGTGTGCAGGGCAGGTGGTTGGGAGACCTCTGAGCCTTTGTGTGAGTGGCCACGTTTCCCTTGTCCCAGGAACTCACTGAAGCATCTTCCCAACAAGGGTTGGGCTTTTTCCTGGAATGGGCAGGTTGCAGTCAGAGAAGTCAGTCCTAGCTCCACAGACAAAGAGTTCTGGGAAGGGCTGAGCCTGCCAGGTAGCCCCAGATCCCCCACCCCTGCTCTGCATCAGGCACCCTCCCTCCAGCACCACCAATCTCATGCTCTGATTGCTCCTTCTTGAGCTTCCCTTCTGAGCCAGACTGCAGGGAGAGTTACAGAGACGCCCAGGCAGCAGATAGCTTGGCAGCATTTGCCCAGATTTGCAGAGGAAATGCTCTGCACCCAGGGGATGGTTACCAGCTGTTCTCCACTTGCCCCATGGGCAACCGAAATGAAGAGGGCAGTGCATTGCAGGGGGGAGGGGGAATCTAGTCAAAGAGAAAGGAGACTTCCGGATGTTGAAGTGGGCTGAAGGGAGAGGCTGTGAACTCACATTCTTTGCTCTTTTTAAGGCATACAAGGATCCTGGGACGGGAATGCACCCAGTCACGGAGGCCGGACAGGCAGAAGCACAGGGCCTCTCCATAGGGTGCAATGCCACTTCTGAATTCAGAGTAGACATTAAAATCATGACTAGTTTGACGTACTTCCTAATGTACTTATATCTTTCACATGTTGGAAAAATCTACAATTACTATAAAAAGTGGCATCACATTTTCAAAACACCGGCTTCTCTCTTTAGCCAAGTACTGAGTGCATATCTGTGAACCTTTGACCTATAGCTGATACATCCTGTCCTCCACCACCCTGGAAGTCTTCAGGCTCACCTCCCACTGGAAGTCTTCCCAAGCCTCCCCAAGCCTCTCCAGACATCCCTGATCCTCTGTTCTGAGCCTCCTTCCCGAGTCTGTAGGGGAATTATTGTTCAGGGGCAAATCTGTCTCCCTACCGGACTGCAAATTCTTCATAGGAGCCTTATTCCTTTGCACAGAGTACCTGGTGCTGCCCCACACTGAGCAGGAATTCCACAGACAAGGGCTCCTGATTGCCAGCATGACCCAGCCAGCTCTTGACAGCCTGGTTTTTGATGGCAGAGCCCTGGGCTGGCCCTGCGTCATCCTCTGTCTCACTGTTTCTTTCTCCCTATTTCTCTGTCTTCCTTGGGCAAAGTTTGCCCCGTTCTAGCTTAACTCATGAGGGAGTCAGTCCAGTCCTTCTCTAGGGCCTTAAAACTCTAGGCCACAAACTTGCCTCCAATTTAGAAGCCTGGATAGAGCCCACATTTACTCACTTTGATTTGCTGTTAACGCCAGAATCTCAGACTTCTTCCTATCATGCCCCATTGACAACAGGAAGGAAATGGTACTCCTCTCACCTCTTCCACTTCCTCTTTCTGTGCTGCCCCCTCCTGGTCCCCTCCGGCCACTCAGAATGTGTTGTCTCCTCTTTTGTACGTCTGCCCAAGTCACCCTTCAACGAAGCAGCAGGTATGTGTAACCCATTGCCCAATTACTACTCCCTTGCCTTGCTACAAATTTTGTTTGAAATCAATATATTTATTCATTTATCAAAATACCTTCATGTATATATTTATTACACGTTAAAATTATGGAGTGGTTCCCCAGATATCTTCTCTGTGGGCTATCACATCCATTTAGTGATGGCCGAGGTTATCACATCCATTTTGCTGATGGAGTTGCCAAGACTCAGAGAGGGAAATTCACTTGCCCAGAAACACAGTTGATAGTAGCCACATGGACTTTCTGATTCCTACTCCAGTGCTCTTTTGCTCATTGTCTTTGTGAATATTCCGTGTAATTCTTCCTTCCTTCTCCCCAGCCCCTCCACCTTAGATCTGGTTAGCGATTCCAGGACAGAAATTATTTCTTGCTCATCTGAACATCCCCCACTGCGTAGCCCAGCCAGCACCTGACACACAGTAGACACTCAGTAAACGTTTGTTGGGTAAATGCAAGCTTTGATGTAGAAAGCCTTCCTAGAATTACTTGCTCTTACCTAACAGCGATCTCAATGTTTCTTGTACAAAGACTCCACCACCTTAGGCTTCTCTGGGACTCAGTTTCCCTACCTATGAAGTGACTATAGAGCGAGTTTATCCAACCCACAGGCCACATGCTGCCCAGGACAGCTTTGAATGTGGCCCAACACAAATTCTTAAACTTTCTTAAAACATGATAAGGTTTTTTTTTTTCTGTGTGATTTTTTTTTTTTTAGCTCAACAGCTATCATTAGTGTTAGTGTATTTGATGTGACACAAGACAATTCTTCCAGTGTGGCCCAGGAAAGCCAAAAGATCGGACACCCCTGTATAGAGGGTTAGACTCAATGATGTCCATGCTCCCATCAGCAGTGACATGCTGTTGTTTCCTGTGGGACTTCCTCAATGAGGACTGCATGCGCACATCTAGAAACTGAAATACCAAGCCAGCCCAAGCAGCAATATAAAAATAGCAGCTGCTGGGCACACCCTCGGGTTCCAGGCAAAGAAGATTGCATCCTGTAAGGCTTGGAAGTTGGTGTTTCCAGCTGACCCTGGGAGTGGGTGAGTGACATGGACAGGCTGAGCTGCCAGCTTTCTGGAGGCAGTTTTATTTCTTGGGAGCTATTTTCTTTTCAATATTGTCAGGGTCTCTGGAAACTGACAAAGCTGACAGCTAATCAACAGTTGAGAACTGGGGACCTTGCTCCACCACCCCTTCACTTTTTCACCCCATCTATCCATCCAGGAAGCCTTTCCCGAGTGCCTGTCATTGGTTTCATTTCAGAGAGGGCACTAGGGGCAGAACAGTAAAGCCAGCTGATGCTTAAATGGCACTTGGGCTGAACAGGACACTGTTTCAAGTGCATTACATATATTAATTTCTCTAATCCTCCCACCAACCCTGTGTTATAATGAGGAAAATCAGGCACAGAGAGATTAGCTAACTTTTCCAAATTGCAGAACTGGGATTTGGACCAGACTACCCCTGCCCCCACCCTCAGCCTCCACCCAGTTAGTTTACTACATTTTCCCTTCTGAATCAGATGTTTTCTTCTCTCACCAGATAAATTTTGTAGTTTTATGATGTTTTTTTCTTTTCTTTTTTCAGACAGAGTCTCGCTCTGTCACCCAGGCTGGAGTGCAGTGGTATGATCTCAGCTCACTGCAGCCTCTGCCTCCCAGGTTCATGCGATTCTCATGCCTCGGCCTCCTGAGTAGCTGAGATGACAGGCATGTGCCACTGTGCTTGGCGAATTTTTAAAATTTTCAGTAGAGACAGAGTTTCACCGCGATGGCCAGGCTGGTCTCGAACTCCTGACCTCAGGTGATCTCCCTGCCTCACTTTCCCAAAGTGCTAGGATTATAGGCATGAACCACCGGGCCCCCTTATGATGTTCTTTATTATCTTAGTATTCAAACACATACCCCTGGAAATTCCGGAAGAGTATAATGCACTCCCGTCAGCCATAATCCAACTTCAGCAATGACCCGCTAGTGACCGATCTTTTTCCTCTATACTCCCACCCACTCACCCCTTTTAATATTATTATTTTGAAGCCA